CTTAATAAACGACAGAATTGCGTGCCGAAAGTTTAATTTCCCCACATTCCTCGGCATGGTTGGGCTGCCAATGGCCGCAAGCCATATCGATCTCATTCAAGGTAATAAGCGAGCGCCTCGAACCCACACCGCCACGGGTGGGCCCGTCGAAAGGCCGGCGCTCTAACCAGCTGAGCTATGGGGATCGACAACCAATTGAACAGCTACGCTATCAGTAGCCGGTAAGCGTCTCTGATTGCTCACCGGCCACTTAGTAGCCAGCTCATCCTCAACAGCCAGACGAGCCCTCATGTAGCTAAAAGGCCATCCCCCACCCCCAAGCGACCAGGAGTGCCCATTGGTGACCGGAGTGACCTTGGGTGGCCAGCAAAGCCCCTATGCAGCTGCATGGAAAATGCCGACGGGCCTGTTCGATGTCCACAGTCCCCTCAGTGACCAGAACAGTCCGGAACAGCCAAAAAAGACCATAAGCGGCAAGCGGGTTCTAAACATACAGATGACTTTGAGTAGTGTACGCGACTCCTGAGCGGCCAGAGCCCCTGGTCGGTCCCATGCCTCCTTAGTATCGGAAACAAACTTTAAAATCGTAGAGGGGACTCTAAATAGCTGTAAGGATCCCCAAGAGCGGACAGTGTCCTAGGTGGCAGAAAGGGCAACTTAAATAGCATGAAAGGCCCGCGGTGGTCACATGGGACCTACTGAGCCGCCAAAGTATAGGGTGCTACCTGAACCACGGGTCAAACACAATATCCAGGTATTTTCCTAAGCCCCGACCGCCAATTCCCTGACCTGTGACCCCTGACCCTGCAGTCAGTATAAATGCCAGCGTCTGCCAGCGGCAGACACCAGTTCCTGCACCGCTCTCACAGCAGCAGCGATGGGCCCTACACAACTGCTGGCGACCCTCACCCTGGCTATGGTGGCCTCTGCCAGCCCCAAGGGCTATGAGACCGGGCCCTCGCCGGGACCGGCGGGACCTCCAGCCTCGGCGAAACGCCCGCAGCCCCCACCGGAAGCTAGCGTCTTCAGCGGCGTCGTCGGGGCGTACAGCCCCGCCGTAAACAGTGGACAGAATGTCGGTGGTGGCGGAGGCAGAGTGGCATCGGTGGCTGGCGGTAGCAACAGGTACACTCCTGGTAGCAGTGTGTACACCACTGGCGGCAGCGGCGCAGGCAGGTTCGCATCAGCGGTCGGCGGTGGCGCCGGAGGCTTCGGCGGTGGCAACAGCGGCAAAGGATTCGGACCGCGGGCCGGCGGTGGCGCGGGAGGCTCCGGTGGCGGCAATAGCGGCGGCGGCGGACAGGGGATGCCCTACAACTACGGCTGGTCGGTACAGGAGCCCAACTCAGGCAACGACTTCACACACCAGGAGGAGAGTGATGGTGTGCTGACCTCAGGTCAGTACCGGGTCAACCTGCCCGACGGCCGGGTCCAGGTGGTGACCTACACGGTGCAGGGCGATAGCGGCTACCAGGCCGAGGTCACGTACGAGGGTGAGGTCCAGTACCCGCCAGTGAGAGACGGCCAGCGGTACACGGGAGCACCTGGGAGCCCACGTTATGTCGCCGGAGCACCTCAGCAGTTCGCGGGGGCAGATGGTGGCCTGAGGTATAGTACAGCGTCTGGAGGACAGTACAACGCTGGATCTGGCGGACAGAGGCTTAGCACCGGATCTGGAGGGCAGCAGACCAACGCTGCATTCGGTGGGCGGTACACTCCGGATGGCCAGCAGCAGGTCTTCGCCTCCAGCGGAGCCCCAGCAAGCCCTGGTGTAGCGGGACAGTCGGCTGGAGGAGGTAGCTAAGGGAGCGGGGTTAGCAACGGCGCCCCTCCACCTGCGCCCTCGCACTCTTACGGCGCCGTATGATGTGGACCAGTTGACCAGTGTCACCGCTCGCCGCTAATGACACCGGAGGAACAATGGATAGCTCATGTATGGCCTAGATGACGAACCGCCTTTAAGAATGTGTGAGCAGCGTGAATGATATTTATCGTGATGTGAATTCGGCTGTAAATATGAAAATACATGTTTATGATTTCTTAGAGCAAGTTTCAAGGGTTAAATCGCACACATGGGAGAGCAAAACAAAGCAGTAGCCTTCCTAAATGGTTGCTGCTCGTCAGCTTATTTCTTTTACGTATCAAACAGTATATTGGTGTATTATTCAACGGTGTTCCCCTCCTCCAACGAGTTCATTGATAAGATGCACGTCTCATTGTGTAAGCGAGGAGCAGACACTTCTGCTTCAGGGCAAAACACCATGTGGCTGTGGTATCATGTTGCAACACCATCTGCCATCGCAGACGACGTTCATGTTTCTCAACATAATGGAATGCTGATCTCACAGGCGCTCATGTGGTAAACTAGTGTCACGATAGACATCGCACAGCCGTTCGATCGGCAGCGTGATTGCGATAATACATATATATATATATATATTATATATAATATATATATATATATATATATATATTATATATCTCTCTATCTCTGTCTCTCCGTCTCTTCCTCTCTCCTCTCTCTCTCTTCTCTCTCTCCTCCTCTCATCCTCTCTCTCTCTCTCATCT